TTGGAGAAGTACCAGCAAGAAGCCCATCATACCTGCTATGTTCAATTTAATAGCAGCCTGCCACTCTGGTAAAACACCAGATAGGACTGGCAGACATTCACTAGATGTCCACCTGCTTAGTCTGTGAAGGACAGCCTTGACCTTGTCTTCTGAGAAGTCGATGGGTTATTTACGATTCGTTCAGACATTGTCTAACCTTGCTTGACAAACCGAAGGGTAGTCTGAATTGGGAGGGGAATGTTAAAAAGGAATTCTTTAAAATGTAAAAACCTAGTTAAACCACTCAAAATGTTTCTTTTGCTGTTTCATTCACACTACTGTTGCAGAATAATCCATCTATAGCAGAAGGCTGCACATATTCAGATTGGTGGTACTTGGATGGAATTTGCCAGACTGTTCTAAAATGAATATTATCCTGCCTGCTCATCTCCCAGTGAATCAGCAGTCAATGACTCATTATTAAATGAGCAGTCGGGTTCCGTAGGAAGATAGGAAATAGTGGTAACATGTGACTGCTATGCAGTGTGACCAAGACTAGCAGGATCACAATAGTGGATGAAGAGTTACTAATCCTTTGCCAGGAAAACCACACACACACCCTCTACAAAAAACTCTGCAATGATGCCAAAGGTGGAAACCTTGCTAAATTACTCTGAAGGATAAATTCACATTTTGTAACATATATTACACCCATGTTCACGTTGTAACATATTACTGTAGCACCAGTCCCTGCACCAAAGCCCCATCCCCCATTGTAACAGCAAGCGATGGATCTTCTACTCCCAATAGCGGTCACAATTTTAAAAAAAAAACTCATCAATGCGGGGCTCCTCCCACCTGCCTGTGTCATTCATTTAAAGAGTTCTGTGAATGGGAAACTAAAAGTACCGACCGCCTTTGTGGCTGTCGTTCTTTTAGTTCTCAGTGAACTACCAGAGTGCTCTGGTAGTTCATTGATTCTTCCTGTCAGTGTGAAGCTGCCTGTGTGTATGGTGTATGGACTGATAGTCTGTAGCAGTCCTGCATGGCAAATGCAGTGCAATGCTTCCCAGGCTTCTGCAAAAAAAGGTAAATGCACCTACCAAACATTTTGCATTTATTATGCATTTTATTTATTTTCTTTTTAAGGCCCATTCAGACTATGCATTGCATTAATTAGGCACACTGTGTTAAGGCAGCCACATTTGATAATGCTAGCAGTGTGCTTTAACACCCCCAAATAATTTGTGCATACTTTAACTTGGGTCCCCACAATGCATGCAGTTTGATGGTTGCCCCTGTGTAGTTCTTTGTGATGGCCTTCAAAATAAGTGGCGCAGAGACACACTGCATCACTGTGCATGTGTTGCCATGCTTTGTGACAAAATGCATTCATCCTTTGCATATTAATGTGTTACAATAACAGGACTATCTGAATGTAATGTTAATCTGAGTTCTGTGCTATTCACTGTAAAGATTTTTTACATTCATTTTGTGGGTCTTTCCGTAACTCGAAGCTAGAAATTGAAAAACTATAAGCATACACTCTGACCATACATGGGAGTATTGGTAATCATCAACTTGTTCTTGCCCCTTCGAGGAGGAGATCTAGAGAAAGATAATACATATTTATTTCAAGTTCAACGCATTAGCCATTAGCAACGTATCTGAGCTTTTTACTACTGGAATTTTATTCCAGTCAGTGCAGTGGGAAAGGAAGTATCTACAACTCAGGTCCTCCAGTGGTAATAAAACCCCAGAAAGTGTTTTCTAATATTCAATTGGCACCGCTGCCTATTAAAATGTATTTACATACAAGAATGTAGTTTATAATTTTAAAAGTAGTCTGGATACTGTACATGCAGGCACAGGAGTGGCGCCATTCATTTTGAATATGCCTCTCTGCTTCAAAAATGTGCCAAAGAAGCTCATGTACCAAATAAATAAATAATGTAAGAAATAATGGCATCACAAGCACGTTGCACATTTTGCTGGTATTCTGGAATCACAGAATCGTGCGATTCTGCCCCTCGTTTCCAGTACACACAGGTGTGAATGGGGCCTAATAGATGTAGGAATGGAAAATTGAAAATTGTGTTGACAAGGAGTACATCATACTTGCTGTTTTCCAGACATTTACCATTCTACCTGAATTCTGTTTTTCAGTCTGGTGATCTGAGAACTCTTGCCTGTGTTGCTGCAGGGGTATTCCCAAATGTACTCACTGAATTCTCCTTGATTTCCTTCACTTTTCGAAAAACAAAAATTTTCACACAGGTGCCTATTGGATTCAACAGTACAAAAAGTCACATACAGCTTTCCCCTTATGCTGCCTTCTCTCTCTGGTGCATGTATAAACAGCACTCTTCCAAGATGTGTATGATACTAGGAAAAGATATTCCAGCAGTCATGTAGCTCCTCTAAAAGTCTATTATGTAAGCACTAAAACACACATCGCAACCCTGTGATGTTTTTAGCCAGTCATGACCATGAATCATAGTATGGGTTTGACTTTACATTGGTATCCAGCAGAGGTCTTTCTTTTTTTTAGAGAATAGATGCTGAAAGAACTGTTAGATACCATATGGGGTAATCTCTGGATTCTCAGTGTAGTAGATTACAAAGAACCTTTCTTACAATACTGAGTGAAGGAGCTGCTTTTAGCACAATTGCAGTGTTTGCTGGATAGCAGTTAGAGATTGCTGATTGGTTTCACTTATTGCCTGGGATTACTTGTAAGTACATTTAGTGCTCACCCAGGTTCTCTTAACACTTTCTACCTAAAAGTAAAGATTGCTCTTCTCTAAAACAGAACCAACTGAGAATAAAGTGCGGCATGTTTTATAGGGCGCAGGAGGGTGTGTATGTGGAATATATAAACTCGTACAAAGGTAGAAAAGGCTTTGAACAAACTGATAAATACATCAGCTGCTTAATAGAATCGTCTGCCATGGGGCTTTGGGGTTATAAAGATTAATGTCATCTGGTGAGCAGAAGGCTGCTGAACAGATGCTTTCAGTATATGGTTATCACAACTAAGCTCCATTTCTGTTCAGCTTGATCACCCTGTGTTCTGTTGCAACAAATTTTACATCTGTCATTTTTTTTTTTTTTTTTTTTTTTTTTTTTGACCGTTGTCAACAGAACAGGTGCCCCAAGTTGGAAGATTTTTTTTTTCCCCTTTATTCAAGTTTTGATTATAAATATTGCAATTTTGGATTTCCCATCACTTTTTGTCCTACTAGCAATGTTTACAAAGACAAAGGTGCATTTCCCCATTAAGGACAGATACAGCAGTACAAACATCACAGGGGCTGTAATGGTTCCCTTTCCTATAGTTTTAAAATTAGTATCATTGCACATGCATAAACAGTAATATAATCATTTTGAAATCGCTAAATGACCCTTAAAAGGAACCTTTAGTGTGGGGAAAAAAAGGGGTTTGCCACTGCTGACCTCTCCTTGTGAAAATAATTGTTCGGGTATCTTGCTGATTTTATTGCCTTTACAACCTTCAAAATCTCTGACCCAAAACAAGCATGTGAAGTTCTGCCTTCACAGGCTGCATGTTTGCTCTGGGTTAATCACAACTGAAGGTGTTAACTGTGAGAGAAACTGTAGTTAGCATGTTAGCATTGGCAGGCTCCATATTTTCCTTTTGCTCAAATGCCATTTGTATGGGTACCTTTAAACCAGTGGTGGCAAACTTATTTGATATAGGGGGCCTAATATACAGCCTCTGACAAAGAGCTGCATAGGATATTTAGTGAATATAATTCAATACGGAGTGGCCTGAGGCTGCAGACAGGCTTCAGGGAGTGACCCCTGGGCCCACTTTTTGTATTAGTGCTTTAGACACTCAGTCCACTAACTTTCAATGGTAGAGAGAGTAGCATTTAGTGATGCACCATTCTATCGGCCACCAAACATTATCGGCCAAAAATAAGGTTATCTGTGTTTTGCCAATTAGAAAAAAAAAAAGGGGGGCAAATGATGAATAACTTCAATGCAAAAACTTTCCCATGACTTCAATGCAAAATCATGTCCCACTGACTCTAATGCAAAATACCCCATGTTGATTTCAGTGCAAACTCGCCCCCCTCTTGACTCCGGTGCAAACTCGCCCCCCCTCTTGACTCCGGTGCAAACTCGCCCCCCCTCTTGACTCCGGTGCAAACTCGCCCCCCCTCTTGACTCCGGTGCAAACTCGCCCCCCCTCTTGACTCCGGTGCAAAATCGCCGCCCCTATTGACTCCGGTGCAAAATCGCCCCCCCTATTGACTCCGGTGCAAAATCGCCCCCCCTCTTGACTCCGGCGCAAAATCGCCCCCCCTATTGACTCCGGTGCAAAATTTTCTCCTCATTTCTGTCCCAAAAGCACAAAAAAGGTGAGTGGAAATCTTTTTGAAACAAGGAAATGTCCTCTTACAGTTATCACCGAAACAGGCCTCCCTATTTATAGATTTCCTCTCAGCTATTGTTTTGGTGACAACTATAAAATTTATCAGTAGTCACCAGAACAAATAGGGTCAATTTTTCAAGCAAGAGCACATACAGCAAAAAAAAAAGAGGGGGTCTCATCCTTTCTTTGCCATATACTAGTAAAAACTTATTTTTGTAGTTTTGGATAGAGTAATTACAGTAACCCATAGCAACCAGTGAAAAAACCCCCAAAAAACACTTAAGGGTTGATATGGGTTCGCACATTTCCATTGCTGTTAAAAAATAATAATAAAACGGGTTAAAAATTGGACTGGAGTGGGTTACATTATCCAGGACAGAAGTGTTATTAATGTTAACAATAGAGACATTAAATTTCATCAGAATAGCTTTATTTTTCCATGCGCTAAAGTAAGAAGCAGGTTATGGTCCAGTAGAGATTTCCTTGGTGGGCACAAATGCAGATTTTAAATTAGATTAACAGTCATGGCCTGACCAGATGGAAATGAAATGCTGGATAGTACACGTGTCTTTTCCAATTTAAACTTTGGGTTTAGATAATTTTTCTGTTTTCTTTGCAGCTTGTACAAGAACTGAAGAGCAGCGACATTGCCAAAACATTCCGGAAAGCAATCAACCGCAAAGAGGGAATTTGTGCAATTGGAGGAACCTCAGAGTTGTCTAGTGAGGGGACACAACACTCTTATTCTGGTAAGATAGCACAACAGAAAAGCCTGATGGGCAACTGGAAGGTTTCCATACTGGCGTTGAGATTCACCAGCACTTTGCAGTCGAATTCGCCACTGCTTCAAAGACTTCAAAGAAACCATGGGCATCCCCCCCATTTATACTTACCTAGGTGGATGCAGCATTGGTCTGATGCTGCATCTGTCCCCCACCGGCTCACAGTATGAGAACTATGCAATCACATGACTGCCATCCGTCCTGCCCCCCTCTCCTGCACTCACTGTGTTGTGGAGGGGCTAGCGGCTAGCTCCAGACTCTCAGCAGCTCACTGAGAGGTTGAGCCAGGTGCCGCTTCAGACTCTGGGGTGGATCCCGACTTTAAAGTCAGGATTTTTCTCCAGCCTGGACTGGCTGATAGCGGGCTTTAGCCAAAAAGCTTTAGCTGTACTTCTCATTTTAAAGCCCAAATGTGTTTTTTTTTTTTTTTTTTTTTTTTTTTTTTTAATTTTGTTTTAAATCCTCCCAAAATACTTTCCTCCTAAGAGTGGAAATATGCTGCCTCTTCTCCCACTCCATTGCTTTATGCTGGTAAAGCTGGTGCTGGCAGCCCTCCATTTGCAGGGGAAGTTAAGTGATGATTTAGTGGTTTCAGTGATATTACACATTAAAACAAAGTATATTGTTTTAATGTGTAATAAGATTGAAGATCTTGTTTTGGGTGTTGTCTGTCGTTCATACAAGTTTTGTGGTCTATTTTAGAGGAGGAAAAATATGCCTTTGTCAACTGGATAAATAAAGCCTTAGAAAATGACCCAGACTGCAAACATGTCCTTCCCATGAATCCAAACACCAACGACCTTTTCCGGGCACTTGGAGATGGCATTGTGCTTTGGTGAGTACTGAAGAGCCTGGCCTTTGTATATACCAAAAAGCAGCTTGATGTTGGCAGTGCAGCTTGCCGTAGAAAATTTGTTGTCCTTTTTCATATTCTAATATTTACTGCAGAAGTTCCCTTGTGTTAAATGACTGAAACATATGTAGCAGTAAATATTGAGTGTACTTTACTATAAATGTGTATCTGGGAAAAGCTAATCTATTTACTGTTTCTTAAATAGTGGCAGATTTTATAGTGAAGCCATCATGCGTCTTTTTTTAATCAGGCCCCATTAATACATATTAGTCTCACATATATATACTTTCAGCATGAAAGCAATTCTTACCACTGTAAGAACCACAATCTCAGTACTGATGTTATGAGGAGTTTAGCAGAGCTGGCATGTTATTTTTGAGAACTGTGCTAACTGGTACATCTTCTTTGGGGAGCTACATTTTCCATCAGTCCACTCATTACGGCAGAGTCACAGCAGGCAGGGCATAGGTGTGCCCAGCAAGAGCAAAGTGGAAAGGGCCTAGGCAATGTCCTATGCAGTGACTGGCAAGCTAGGGCTTAGTGAGTAATGATCACCATTATTCCAGACATGGCCCCTGCTGGAAGCTTATCAAGCCCTCAGATGCCAGGATCTAAAGACATTACTGACATTGCTTGCCACAGTTAGAAAAACGAACAAAGACCTGATTACCAACTGATAAAACTGTATTACATATATTTTAATTCCTAGATTGTAAGCTCGAAAGAGCAATGCCCTCAAACCCCTCGTGTGTCGCATTGTATTGGTATTGTTCTGTCACATGTTCTGTCCCCCTTTGTAATGTACAGCGCTGAGCGAACTATTGGCGCTTTATAAATACTGTATAATAATAATAATAATAATGTTGGGGTAGGGGAAGGAGTCCCTGCTGTCAGAATACAATAGAGCAGCGGGGGCAATTCCTGCATCCACATATCTTCTACTCCTGAAGGAAGTATAGTTGCAGTGAACAGATGCATATGACTTAAGAGCTGGGTGTTAACTGAGGGCTTCTGTTATGAATTTTAGATCAGACATGTTCCTGTAGGGTGTAAGAAATATTTTCAGTCACATCAATTCAGCTGGCATGGCCCAAAAAGCAGGCTAAAAAGTTATTTAGGACAGCGCATCAGGATTACATTTAGGAAGCATTTTAGGGAACGAAGTGATGGTAGTTGCCATATTTATCAAGACAGGTTCATTTCAAGGTAAAAAACAAGATCTCCCAGTACACTTACCAGCCAGTCTGCAAAATAACCAAATTGATGTCTAACAATGCACATTAAAAACAAAGGGTTTTGTTTGCACACATTTGCAAATATATGGTTAAGCCACAGTGCCCACGTCAAGGCTTCACTGTATACTGCAGTCCTGGCTCTCATTTTTAGAGGCGCCCAAGTCTGAGCACATATAGCGATGGGTAAGTTAAGGTCAGGTGTGCCTGGAGGGAGCCCACACCTTAAAGGCCTTTGCATTAAGGTGCACAGGGAAAGGCAACACACACAACGAACCAAAGATTTCCAAGCACACTTACCTGCCAGCCTGCATTTTTATACAAATATAGTGCATTTTATAGTACATTTAGAGGGCATTTTCAGCAAATATTTCTGCATTACTGTAGACTTTTTCCTTTTTAGTAATTTTTGATGGAGTATTTAGTTTTTTACACACATGATTGCTTCATATTTGTGTTTCATTAAATATAGAGATTGGTAGATGAACCACCAGAGAGCTGTGTACATGATTCTGCTTCAGTTATCCTTCCTGATTAACAACTGTTGAGATTTCAGCCACATAGTGATTGAACTGTTGTCAGTCAATTTGTGGACTCGCATTATAAGAGAGAGCAGCTAAACCAAATATGGCTTCCTCTGTGTACATTACAAATTCTTCAGTAGAAACCTTTTAACATGCACACATTGATAACTCTCATCAGGCTGATATTTTACAGTTATTTATATAAGAAGGCTGATACATGAACAGACTATAAAACCCCAATTCCAAAAAAGTTTGAACAATTTCAGCATAATATTCCTCAACGTAAAGTTGCAAAGACTTTAAATATATTATCTACAGTACATAATATAACTGGGACCTTGTCCACACAGATTTCTCCAGACTCTCTGAATCTTTTTATGATCTTATGTACTGTAGATGCTGATATATTTAAGTGTTTGCAATTTTACGTTGAACATTATCCTGAAATTATTCAACAATTTTTAGATGCAGCTTTTCACAGATTGATGAATCTCTGCCCATCTTTACTTCTGACACACCCTGACTTTCTAAGATGCGCTTTTCATTCATATTACTGACCTGTTGCCAAATAACCTAATTGCAAAATGTTCTTCTAGCTCTTCCTTGTTAGTACCACTAATTTTGCCAGCTTTTTGTTGCCCTGTCCCAACTTTTTTTGAGACGTGTTGCTGCCATCAGTTTCAAAATTACTTTTTTTTTTTTTTTTTTAATGGGACATTTTTTTCCAGTTTTATAATTTGATTTTTTTTTTCTGTTGTGAACAAAATATAGATGTGAGATTTGCAAATCATTGCATTCTATTTTTATGCAGATGTTACACAGCATCCCAACTTTTTTTGGGGATTGGAGTTGTGCATTATGCTCTACTATGCCTCTTAGAGATTAGAACATATGTATGTATTTATTTGAATTATCATAGCCTAGCCACAGTTGCACTTAGCAGCCTAGAAACTTAGCTGTATTTCATGGCTATCGTTTAATGTGAACTGTCAAAGCTTCATTTGAATATTACCTTTCCTTTTTTCCAGTAAAATGGTTAACTTGTCTGTACCTGACACTATTGATGAAAGAGCAATTAACAAGAAGAAACTAACTGCTTTCACCATCCAGGTGAGTCACTAAGCAGGATTAGCTTTTACTGCAGAAGTCTCAGAATTTTGAATTTAAACATCAAATTGAGATTGGCGTCACTACGCAAATAATCACACAGAAATTCAGAGACTTTCTAAGTTCTAGTTGTGTACAGCAGTCAGCACATTTGGTTTTGACTTGGAGTCATTGATCATTTAAATTAAGCAGAATCAAATATTTAAAAAAAGGGAAAGGAAACATAAGGGTTGATTTACTGAAGGCAAATAAACTGTGCAATCTGCCAAATGCAGTTGCTGCAAAGCTTCATAAATGAGGTAAAGTCTATCCAATCAAATGCAAGGAAAATAAAACCACATTTTTGCTTGTACATGATTGGATGATGGAAGTCAGCAGAGCTTCTGCTCGTTTACGAAGCTCTGGAGCAACTGCACTTTGAAAAGTGCTCAGTCTGTGTCTTTAATCAATCCCATAGTGCTTGAAGAGGGGAAAGGAAACATTGCATTTTGGCCCATCTTTGTACTGACAGAGGTAGTTCTGTGCTCAATTATGGGGGAATTGGATAAGCTTCTCTGAGGAAAAAAAAATGCCTATGGCCATTTGACATGTTTTATGCAGAGTGAGGGAAAATCCCATGTTAAACAGTTGTCGCTAGAGCACAGATCCCTATTGGAAGATTCCCCTACCTTCTGTACTGTTTAAAACTGTTCTCACCTTCTGGCCGGCTGACCATGGTCACCAGGGCAAATTGAGTGGTAGATCATGGCAATAAAATTGCAGCAGTACTTCTAACCCTTCCTCGCACTATCCAAAGCTGTAAAACAATCTTTTGAGTATAAATACAGGGGTATACAGTACATATTAAGAGGCTAAGATTAAGGGCAGTTTGGGTTAATTGTTAGTGTAGTTTTAAGGGTTAAGCTTCAGGGTTAGGTTAGTTTTGTGTTGGTACCAGGTGTCCCAAGTTGTAAATGTTGTTTTCCATTTCGAAGTGACTACAAAAACTTTTAGTACTTGCGCACCTGTACTTCCATGTCTATACTGTTGGACTAAATATCCATGACATTGCTTCTTTTCATTTGATATATTCATTTTTCTTCTACATTAATTTGAACTGAAAATGGTTCAGTCTTGAGATACTGTATGTGTTTTTTTCCATCCCCTGCATTTTTTAATTGTTTAAACATAGATGTTATTTCACACCACACTTGTAATCTGTTCTCTCTGCAGGAAAATTTGAACTTGGCATTGAACTCTGCTTCTGCCATTGGATGTCATGTGGTTAATATTGGAGCAGAAGACTTGAAGGCTGGAAAGCCTCACCTGGTCCTGGGACTCCTGTGGCAGATTATTAAAATCGGTTTGTTTGCTGACATTGAGATCAGCAGAAATGAAGGTAAATTATCGCTAATGGTTTAGCCCACAAATTACTACTTGTTCTTGGGAAAGAGATACACTTAAAGTGGTTCTAAAGTCAAAAGTTTTTTTTTTTTTTTTACCATAATGCATTTTATGCATTAACGTGAAGAAAAGCTTTCAGTAGATGTTCCTCTTCCCACCTACCTAAATACATATCTGAGTCCTCTATTGATCCAGTGTTGCCCTTTTTCTTTGGTCTCATAGGGCAGATCGATAGCAGTGGGAGCCGTTGGCTCCTGCTGCTGTCAGTCTATGCCAATGAGGAGGGAGCTGTGCTGTTTGTGAAGAGGAGGCTCGGGGCAAGTAGAACATATTTATTAGCTTAGTTAAAAAAAAAAAAAAAAAAAAAAAGTTTACACTGCTTTAAGCTGGTCATAGATGACCTTTATTTTTTTTTTTTTTTTGGTCAGCCAGTGTGCTGAATGAAAAAACAAACGGATTCCTCCATCCACCTTGTTTGCAAATCATCCCTGCTGGGACATTGACCAGACTCTCTGCATCAGAAAACACTGATCTGCAGCTGCAGCAGTTGATTGAGAATAATTTTCCAACATCCTTGTTCTAATAATCGACTTCTGTTGAACAGAGACGGCCAGACATGGATTGAAATTTGGCTCCTCCCTGCTGACCTGGCTGAATTTTGATCCCTCTATGACCAGCATTATTTTTATTTTATTTTTTATAGTATCTATTTATAGCAGTAATATTTAAACAATTTAAATGGTAACTATACCTTGATGCAATTGAATAATTACCTTTTTAAGATGAATAACTTATAAAGCATTCGGTATAACTTTAATAACCAATTTTGCCTAGTAGAGTTGGCGAGAAAGAACTTGCCATATAGAAATTAAATGTGTGTGTTTTGTATTAAAGAAAAAAAAAAAGTTTACTAGGTTTACCATGCAGCTGATTTCTGTTTTTATCCACTCCAGCCTTGGCTGCCTTGCTTCGTGATGGAGAGACTTTGGAGGATCTGATGAAACTGTCCCCTGAGGAAGAGTTGCTGTTGAGATGGGCCAACTTCCATCTGGAGAATGCTGGCTGGCAGAAGATCAATAACTTTAGCTCAGACATTAAGGTACTCATGTGGTACAAAGCCGAATATTGCACACCAGCACAACCAGAGGGATTAGGTCTTATTAATTATGCATGTTGTGTCTTTTTGTCTCTTTTGGAAAAGGCAGACTTTACATTAAATACATTGTGTGGACATCAATTTTATTTGAGTGATACTGTGTGTTGTTTCCAAGCTTCATGTATTTTTCATTTCCTTGTCTTCAGGACTATAACCTACATTTGTTCTTGACACGATCATACAATGCTGCTATAAATATGAGTATACCATTATTGCAGAAGGAGAATGTTCCCTCCTCCCTCCCCAGTTAAAGTTGGGGTTGGAATCTACCTGTCACACCATTTTAATGTAAAAGGGTCCTTACACTGGCAGCTATATTAATATAATGTATGATGATATTCCCATGGTCAACATCAATAGCCAAGTGCAATGCTTCATTAATACTACATTCAGTTTAGTACATAACAAAATAACATAGATTGTTAGCTTGAATGAAATGTCACCTGTTTACAGTGATGTAAATAAAATAAACATACCCAACAACTTAACCAAAAAAAAAGAAAAAAAATTTTTTGACCCCATTAATCAGCTTAATAAAAAAGGGTTGAAAGGGTAATTCAAAGTGCATCTTCCCCATACCATTGTGGAGATATTGGTAATTATATTCCTGTGAAGAATCTGCTAATGTGCCATTAGCATCATACTGTATAGCATATATTCATCATGTGTTACTCTATATTCCTCTTAAAGTGTGCATACATGTCCACAGTGACTGGTGCGCAGTCTGTTTTATGTAACTAATTTAATCTGTCTTTCTCCTCTAATGCATCAAATGGATTCTTGCCGCTCTCTCTTCTGCTCCTCCTCCTCCTCTCTGCAGCTAACTGACTTTGGTAACTCTGTTAAGGTATATAATGAACTGACTAATGAAAGGAAGCCTTGGTTTTATTTATACTAAACTGAGTTTTTATATTGAAGGCTGTAGTACAAATTGAAATTTAATTGCTCAATGGGTTATGATTGCCAAAAATGTAACAAGTATTTACATTTGATTTTTATTGTTTTGAGACTCTATAGGATAAGGTAGTGATGTATATGGCTGTGGGATTTATTATAATGTGGACCTGGGCTCACTAAAGGTCACCACATATTATTTGATTGTACAAACTCTGAACAGTTTCAGATTTACCAAATCCTAATATTTTTATGTGTGCCCGTCCCAATTATACAGTCAACCGGTATCCTATGAGGCAGGCAATTCCACTACATACAGTGGGTCAAAAAAGTATTTTAGTCAGCCACCAATTGTGCAAGTTCTCCCACTTAAAAAGATGAGAGGCCTGTAATTTGCATCATAGGTAGACCTCAACTATGAGAGACAAAAATGAGAAAACAAATCCAGATAATCACATTGGCTGATTTGGAAAGAATTTATTTGAAAATAAGTATTTGGTCACCTACAAACAAACAAGATTTCTGGCTCCTACAGACCTGTACCTTCTTCTTTAAGAGGCTCCTCTGTCCTGCACTCATTACCTGTATCAATGGCACCTGTTTGAACTTGTTATCAGTATAAAAGACACCTGTCCACAACCTCAAACAGTCACACTCCAAACTCCACTATGGTGAAGACCAAAGATCTGTCGAAGGACACCAGAAACAAAATTGTAGACCTGCACCAGATTGGGAAGACTGAATGTGCAATAGGCAAGCAGCTTGGTGTGAACAAATCAACTGTGGGAGCAATAATTAGAAACTGGAAGACATACAAGACCACTGATTATCTCCCTCGATCTGGGGCTCCATGCAAGATCTCACCCCGTGGGGTCAAAATGATCACAAGAACAGTGAGCAAAAATCCCAGGACCACAAGGGGGGACCAAGTGATCACCTGCAGAGAGCTGGGACCAACGTAGCAAAGGAGATACCATCAATAACACACTACGCCGCCAGGGACTCAGATCCTGCAGTGCCAGACGTGTCCCCCTACTTAAACCAGTACATGTCCGGGCCCATCTGAAGTTTGCTAGAGAGCATTTGGATGATCCAGAAGAGGATTGGGAGAATGTCATATGGTCAGATGAAACCAAAATAGAACTGTTTGGTAGAAACACAACTCGTTGTGTTTGGAGGAGAGAGACTGCTGAGTTGCATCCAAAGAACACCATACCTACTGTGAAGCATGGGGATGGCAACATCATGCTTTGGGTCTGTTTCTCCGCAAAGGGACCAAGACGACTGATCCATGTACAGGACAGAATGAATGGGGCCATGTATCGTGAGATTTTGAGTGCAAACCTCCCATCAGCAAGGGCATTGATGATGAAACGTGGCTGGGTCTTCCAACATGACAATGATCCCAAACATACCGCTCGGGCAACGGAGTGTCTTCGTAAGAAGCATTTCAAGGTCCTGGAGTGGCCTAGCCAGTCTAGAGATCTCAACCCCATAGAAAACCTTTGGAGGGAGTTGAAAGCCTGTGTTGCCCAGCGACAGCCCCAAAACATCACTGCTCTAGAGGAGATCTGCATGGAGGAATGGGCCAACATACCAGCAACAGTGTGCGCCAACCTTGTGAAGACTTACAGGAAACGTTTGACCTCTGTCATTGCCAACAAGGGATATATAACAAAGTATTGAGATGAACTTTTGATATTGACCAAATACTTATTTTCCACCATAATTTGCAAATAAATTCTTTCCAAATCAGCCAATTGTGATTGTCTGGATTCTTTTTCTCATTTTGTCTCTCATAGTTGAGGTCTACCTATGATGCCAATTACAGGCCTCTCTCATCTTTTTAAGTGGGAGAACTTGCACAATTGGTGGCTGACTAAATACTTTTTTGCCCCACTGTAATTGGAAAATTTACAGGAGAATGTATAGTCAGATTGCAACATGTGGTGAACTTAAGGTACATGAGTGTATGTTGGAGGAGCTGTACAATGTTTTTTATGACCCTTTTACATCTTTGCATATATCATGTGTGTTGCATTAAGGGAGATTATTTATTTGCGTGGGGTTCCATATGCACAAAACATGCCAAAAATATTCACAGTAGTGCTTTCTGGTAAGCCTAAATGCTGGTGGGTTGGAAAAGGTGTGTTGGAGTGTCATATGCAATGAATGGCATTGCAGCACACCTATGCACATAACATGCATTGCCACATGTCGTGGTAATAGGATTTAAGCCCACTATTACAGCACTGCTCAGCATCATGCTCTGTAAACTAAGCAGGTCATGTTTTCAGTTTTTTTCTAATGCTGGCCAAAGACTGTGAGATTTTTTTCTTTCCTGCAACGGGTGTCAGTGTTGGGGAAATCCTTCCGGGAGAGCCATTGTGTTCTGGCTGAGGGAGCCATTGTTGCAGGGAGACCACAGTGATTGCTGCTAGCAGTTATAATAGCCTCTAGCAATAATCACATGGAAAACCCGACAAGCTGGTTGTACCCAAGTTGATTGATTAACTTGGGTACATTCTGCCTGCTCATACATGGTGCAAATCTCGTCCAGTCCCTGCTGAACCAGCCAAGATTCAAAATGTGGCCGACTTTAGTACAAGCTACTGTGATAATGACTGGCCTAGATGATTCAATCTCTTATGCTAGGTGAAGGAGACCCTTAAAAAATGATCTGTTTGGGAGGTGGGGCTCCAGGAACTGAAGGCAGTGTTTTACCAGCAGGGTAGGAAAAAAAAAAGACCCCATCCACACACTCTATGTGGTTGGAGACATCCTTCCCACTGAGTTACTGTATTCTAACAGCGAGGAGACTTCCATGCCGCATACACTGATCAGTATAGCTGATCGACAACCAGCCTGCCCATACATGGATCAAAATTCATCCAGTCCTTGCTGAACCAGCTGAAATATGATCCATGTATGACTACCTTAAGGATGGGCATAAATAAGCATTTTGATGTGGTTAATGGATAAGTTCACTTTTTGGACAAAAATGATAATTGCACATTTTTTTTGCAGGTAAAAAATTTACATTTATTATTTTTGTTCAAAGGAGTCTCTAAAGCATTGCACCAGTGATCAGTAGATCGCTGATGCCATGCAATTCTCCTGCAGACCTGTCAGAATATCTGCTTGCTGCTCCACAATCCCGTGGAAGTTCATGGAAAACCACAAGCCCACAGCCACCAAGGCTGTCGGGACTTGTAGGCACTCATTCACAGAACACTGTGAGGGACGTGGCCACGTGGATGGAGCCATGCACGGCCGTGCTGTTTTTGAAATCTTACAGTATGGGGAAACTTCTCCCCGTACTATCTGTCGGGGGGGGGGAGGGGTTGTGGCGGGCGCTATGGGAACATGTTACATTATCCTTTCATGATTGATGGTGACAGTGTTTTTTCAGCACATTCTGTGGTCATGATGCAGTAGGTGCACATTGGAAGGAACAGCCATGTAATAATCACATCTTGGAAATATTCTAAAACTTCCCAGGCACGCCGCAATCCTAGAAATGTTCATTGCTACTTCATTATTGTAGAGGATATCTAGGATTCATGCATTATGTAATGCTGAATGTGTTTTTGCATATTGGTGAATGTGTGAAGCCAGTTAAAAGGATACCTAAACTCAAAAATGTATTTTGTTGCAGCTTACCAGTCCTTCAGATGTAATGTCTGTAATAATTTTCATTTTTCAGGCTAATTACAATTCCAGCAAGTGCAGAAAATACATGTCAATCTTGCCAGAAATGCAGTGTCCTTGTCCTGTGAGCTGAAATGAAAGCAAACGCATCCTTACCTTTAGGGTCCATGCACACTGGGCATAAAAAATGCTGCTTATACAGGCATTTGGGTTTTTTTTTTTCTTCAACCTGTTGAAGCAGCTCTATAGTAGCCTATGGGTTCATGCACATTAGGCAGTTTAGAGGCAGAAAAAAACTCTTCAGAATCATGCTTTTGAGAGAAGTTTTAGGGCAGGGAAAATTCTTAACACTTATAAATGGGACATTTAGGATTGTTCAGAGTTTTCATGTGTAAATTGAAAAATGAGCAGAGAGGAATGTTTTTAAAAAAAAAAAAAAAAAAAAAAAAACGCTTTTAAAAGCAAATGCCTATAAATGCTCATAAACTCTTCTACAATACAAGCCACTAGGAACATTTTTTTTTTCCTGCAGCTTCTTTCGCCAGAGGTTTTGGCATTTCCCCCCATCATACCCCCACCCCCCTTATTTGCCCCTAGTGTGCATGGAGCCTTACTCTGTAAAATACTAATTCCATCACTGTTATGTACTGGAGATAAAGAAAGGAAGACATGTTGGAATTCCAGCCTGGGTGATAGCCGTGTATACAGCAGTACAGAGAGAGTGAGCATTGTCAACCAGGGACAGTAAGTTTTGTTTGCAGAATTACTAGGTGAAAAGAAAGGTCAAAAGCCTTAAAAGAAAACAAATGGAGTTGCTACATCCAAGGACTGGTAATCTGCAAAATGTTACAATTTTGTTTATGGGTTTAAATATGCTTTAAGATATCCATTACCTCCAACTTGACTAATGCTCTTCAGTTCATTGTCAGCAAGATTAATACGTCCTCTGTTCTCCTTATTACATTAAAGCTTAAGCATCAGTGGTGTAATCGGGCCAGAATGAAGCTCTGCTACTTGATGGCTGCAAGGGTGTAGCCGGATGAATCACTTAAGTACTAAAGACAACACATTTTGTTGAACCAGACACTATTCTTACTCTTTGTGTGCACATTGGCACACTGCACTTTTTCTTGCTGTGTTTTGAATTGATGTTTATTTATGTTTAATTAATGTGGGAATCCAGTCATAACCCTTACCTTAGTTTTTCTATGGAGTGGAGAAGAGTTAGAACCTGTAATGGGTTATATTGCCCCTCTTCATTCGGGAGCTCTTACCTCACCTTCTGTTAAAGGCACAAGAAGTGAGAAGAAATACCACTTTTGACGGGTGACCCTATTGACAAACAGATCCTGCTTTGACAAACAAACAGCAATAAAATTCTGAAAGAGGTTTTAACCCATCCCTACTCTACTTAGAACATAAAGTATCTGGAGTTCCACTGTAAAGAAAACTTGTCATGGAAGACGCAGATGATTCAATTGCTGAATTTTCTCGATTTGGAAATTTTAGTTTGCTGGCTTTAAATATGATCTAGCATTCTGTATTTGTATTTGTTTAACATCCTAGGAGACCAACAGCTGCCTGTCCTGTTCCAGTATGTCCCTTTGTTTCTAGGTAACTTGGTCAGACAGGTTTCCTCCCTCAAAATTCCCCTGCAACTCTGTGATCAATCAGACGTGATGTGTATGTGTACATTCAGCCCTGATACACATAGGAAGCAGCAGCTCTTAGTGACCTGTCACTGTTATGAATGAATGAGCAGCGCGACTGTGTAAAGTAACTGCACCCAAAGCGCTGATTGATATTTTACTATTATGAACAAACAAGCAGTGCTGATTGTTCATCCAGAAGTGAAAGATCGCTCATCCTAGAGGGGCTCTGTGCTGCATGTACCTCCTTCCACAGGAACACCCATAAATTGGGCTTCAAAAGGGGGTGGAGCTACAGCCACTATATAGTGGTATTTGTAGGAGATAACGTGGGCCACCAGTTAGAACAGAATCAAGTGCTATATGCACTTGGTCCCCTGGGGAGTTACATTGTTTTCTTTATCACTGAGCCCTTGGCTTCAATACATCAAGTGTGCGGTTGATGACTTTTGACTTTCCTGATATGTGTACTTCCATTTACAGTGTCTGCACAACAAGCCAGTCAACTATCATTTTCAGGTGGAGGATTCAGCTCCTATATTTCTCTCCTGATAGGTTTACTTTATCAATTATATAAATATTGGCTTTAATTTAGTTGTCATACCAGCTTCATCACAATTACTGCTTTGCATGGACTCACAATTTTCCAGTAGTGTGTTCTGTATGCTGCAAAATGTGCACTTTGACTGGCACTGTTACAGCTTGAGTAACCATTTGTACCAAATGCATACTGACCACCAGTTCCAGATTTCATGGGGCTATCATGTTCTGTGGCTGAGTTGGTGGCGATCATGTGACATTAAGTGCAGCTCAGCTGTAACTTGATTTATTGGGACAGGTTAGTGTGGCTTTAGGGAACAGCCAAAATTGTGTAAAGATTTTACACTGGAATGATGGAAGTATGCAAATGGAATTCATCTATGAGAACTAAGTTTTTTTTTAATTCCCTTTCTTAGTAACCCAAACACATATGTACCACTGCATTGTCTATGTTTACACTATATACACTTATTAAATTGCTTGTCATCCTTTTAATGCTTTTCTCTCTTTTTTTTTTTTTTTTTTTTTTGTTTTGTTTATTCTTCAGGATTCCAAAGCCTATTACCATCTGCTCAACCAGATTGCACCCAAAGGACAAAAGGAAGGTGAAGAAAGGATTGATATCAACATGTCTGGGTTCAATGTAAGTATTTGCACACCCAAGGTCACTACCCATTTTCAGGGTCTGCATTGGGGTCCCCAGTTTGTATCATGGTCATAACACTATCTACATGGAATTTGAAAATTCTCCCTGTGCTTTTGTGGGGTTTGTTCAGGTAATCTGGTCGGCTCTCACACTCCAAACACATGCTGGTAGGCTAACTTGCTCCTGCCTAAATTGGCCTTAATATGTGTATGCACACAATTGAGATGGAGACCTGAGGTTAAAATCTCTTTGAGGGCAGGCATTGATATGAATGCACAGTATTCAAAAAGCTGCATAAATAGTGCCTGAATAGTAACCTGTTGCTGAGCACATAATGCAAATGTGTGGCTTCAGGGAGGGGTGGCCTTAACTCCCCAATGCTGCACACACATGTGTTCATGGTGGTTGAGGTTTCTGTCCTGAGAGAATGCTCACTTTGCACTCCCAACACAGAGACCGAGCTGTCACTGGTATCTCCTGGTCACTGTATGTGATCAAGAGCCAGCAGTACAGACATTTGCTTATGCGACCTCTATGACAGCCGGTCACAGTGAGCATGTTTGGGCATTCCGCCCTGCCTCCTGGCCTTAAAACTCCGCTAAAGTGCAACCAAGAAGGAGTTGAGGAGGCGTTGACACATCCATTTTCACATTTCAGACTTTGATGCTTCACCCATTTCTCCTCCGTGCATTCTTGGACATTAGATGGTGGATTACACAACCTTTCTGTCCCTGTAGTCAGTGGATTATCTGCAGAAATGTATAAAGAATTAATGTACAGTAGGTCAGTTACTAGTGTAGGTGGAGCTCAGCAAGTACGTTAATCTGTAGAGAGAGAAACCGCAAAACATTTGTGGGGAATCATGCTTTTTTCCCACTCCAGGTATAGAAAAGAACCTGTTTTGAGTGGAGTTATTTTTAACTTTCTATGGTTTTTGACCCAGAAAAGATTATAGGTTTGGAGTTTTATTCAAGTATCCATGCATTATGCAGATAATCTGCATATCTGACGTGTTTTTTTAGGTCCCTGCTTGATTATCTCTGTGCTTGCGTTACCTACCTGATTGGTTATGCATTCAAGATGGATAATTCAGCAGGAGTTTGTCAGGATATAACAGTTCAGGCCTTTGGCTGCCAAGAAGGAATCTTGACTGGACCAATCTGTAATACAGATATGACAGATGGTTGAGCTTATTATAGACATCATGCCAATAAAACTCCTGTTTGGTCACCTGCAGTTAACTCGGTATGTAGGGCTTTAGAATCTGCATTATGATAGTTCTTCCTGGGGTTCACAGTCCTGTCATATCACTGTTTGCCTCACTGACAGCTTTATGTTTACAGACACAATTGTTTTTTGTCTTGGTGGCTGTCAGATGTCATATACCAGGGCCATATCTCATTACTTACTGCCTCCTTTAAACAAATAGAGAACCTCACACACCTATATTTAAATGCAAAATCTGGTTTATTAACCACTTCAATACCAGGCACTTTTACCCCTTCCTGCTCAGGCCAGATTTCAGCATTGTCGCACTTTGACAATTGCGCAGTCATGCAACACTGTACCCATATATTTTTAGCACTTTTTTCACACAAATAGAGCTTTCTTTTGGTGGTATTTAATCACCACTGAGTTTTTTTTTTATTCTTTTGCTAAATAAATAAAGACCAAAACTTTTGAAAAAAAATGTTTTCTTTCTGTTATAAAATTTTGCAAATTAATAACCTTTCTTCATAAATGTAGGTCAAAATGCTACATTTCTTTGGTGAAAATAATCCAAATTAGTGTTTATTTAGTCTGTAGCAAGGTTATAGAGTCCACAAACTATGGTATATATATCTCACAGTTCATCAATCCTGATGTACTGACAGCTAATCTAATTTCTTGAGGTTCGAAACTCCAGGATAGCACAAATAACCCCAAATGACCCATTTTTGAACAATAGACAGTCCAAGGTATTTAGTAAGAGACATGGGGAGTTTTTTGAAGTTGTAATTTTTTTTTGTCAATTGTTTTGGAAAATGAAGAAATTAAAGAAAAAAAAATTTTTTTTTTTTTTTTTACATATTTTCACCAGTCCAGTACAGTTTTTATCCTATAACTGATATGGCAGTGATCAGTGACACTGACTTGTGACAGAATGGATGCGGTGCCTTCTAGAGGACATCCATTCAGGTGGAGCGTCCCGTCCGGCTGTCAATCTGCTATAGGCCGAGCGGGAAGGTGTTAAGTAGTGACGAAATCGGTGGTGATGTGGAAAATGTCATTTTCCTTTTTGTTGTCATAGTGTTCATAGTATTAGTGTTATTCTCATTAAAGTAAATTTTCATTTTATTTTCAAATAATTTTTATTAGAAATTTTAGGTTTCTGAACAAACATGTTATGTCATTATATAGAAACATTCAAGTACAAGGGTCACATAAACGGAACAACAACAAATAAAATGAAAAATGAGGTAAAAAAAACTCCCACCATCCGGCTGGGAGTTCGATTATCGTAATCATACTTACAAAGAGAGGTATTCTCATTGGATTGTGAACCCTATTGATGAATGCAAAAACATAAAGAAAAACTAAACAGGGGATGAAAAGGGTATAGGAAAGTACAGTAGGGAAGGGATAAAAGGGCAAATGGTAAAAAAAAAAAACTCCCCACCCAGCTGGGATGTTTTCGATTGAGATCAGTGTAATCATACTTACAAGCCTCGTTCAGTCGGCAGATTGAATGAACCCTATAGATGAACCGCAAAAAAATAACGGAAAAACTAAACAGTGTGGAAGAGAGATGAGGGCACAATGCGCTACAAATGTAGCATCTTATAAGGTTTAGGATTCGTAATCAAACCAAATTGAGCAGTTGGGATGTTTTAGCGCCATTTAGACCAGTGTAATGTGAATTTATGGTAGGAGGAATTTCAGAAGGCCGTTCTTCGCTCCATCTCACATTGCAAGTTGAGATCGGCGAGTAGGCGGGCTAGTAAGGGGGGGGGTGACGTAGATCGCCATAGTTTTCGTAATGTTAGTCTTTGCTGCTGCCAGAATGTGTATGATAATGGTGCGTGAGCAAACGGGAAATTGATCTATCGTTAGGTGTAGAAGGGCTAGGCCTGGATTAGGAGGTGTTGGGGAATCTGTGATTGAAGAGATTAATTGGAACACTTTATTCCAATAGGATTTGAGGGATTTGCAGGACCATAGTAAGTGGAAGAGCGAACCCGTGTCACGACAGCGTCTCCAGCAAGTTTGTGATTGCTGTGGATAATAGATGGATAATTTGGCAGGGGTTAAATAGCATTGGTGGAGAATTTTTAAATAAGGATTCCCAGTGGGAACTACATTTCGAGGCTTTGTATGTGATGGTGAACGTCACTTGCCATGGTTGAGGGGTTGTTGGGAGAAGGAGATTCGTCTCCCAATTAGTGAGGGATGATGTACAAGTTATAAATTGTGCTTCAGTAAGTATGTGTATAAAAGGTAGAGATTCCTTTCTTTGGAATAAAAAGACTTGTGGTAGAAGTGGTGTGCAGTAGCTGGGAAGTCTCTATTTCAAGTGGAATATGCGTGTTATGGAGCAAATGGGAAATTCGCATAAAAAGTGAATCGTTCCGTATCGGAAGACAAATTTTTTTTTGAAGGGTCTGGAACGACTCGTGTATTTGTTTGTTGTGAATATCTTGGATATAGCGTATACCCAACGCTTTCCAAGATGTTAGATTCAAGTGGGGGGATAAGAAGTGCAGAGAGGATATGGGAGTCGGGTTTCGTAAATTAGTCTTATGTGAATGAGTGTAAGTCAGGAAGTTATGCCCAAGCTATCAGAGAGGCTTGGATGCATGGGTGAGTGTGTGAAGGTCTAATCTGTGTCATACGAGGCGTAAATAATAAGTCTGTTAAAGCACTTGGCGGATACATGGAGGTTTCCATAGTAGTCCATGTTTTGTCTTGGGTCGGGTGCCACCAGTAGTATAGCTGGGTCCAATAGGGTAGCTTGATAATAGGATTTCAAATGTGGAGGGGCGGCTCCGCCTCTGGAGGGCGGCGGGCGTATCAGAAGGTTTGTAGATCATCTAGGCCGTTTAGAATTCCATAAGAATTTATTTCGAATTTTTTGAATTGTAGAGAAGAACCGAGGAGGGGTATAGGAACAGGCAATGTACGAAATATATACAAAATTTTTAGGCAATATACACATTTTAATAGTAGCTACTCTGCCCCAGCATTGATAACGAGGTGGTACGCGAGGTTCCCTAAGCTCCTGTGGGATTGTGTCAAGAAGTGGTTGAAAATTAGCTGCATATAGTTGATTGGTTTTGGGAGTAAGTTTAATCCCTAGGTATGGGATATTGTGTTTTTCCCATTTGAAAGGGAATTGTTTTGTAAGGAGGTTTTGGGTCAGAGCAGGGGTATGAAGGTTTAAAATTAAGATTTGGGTTCGTTGAGCTTATAATATGATACATCTGCATAGTTTTGTATGTGCGTACGTATTGAAGTGAGTGATTTGTAGGGATTTGTAATCATTAGAATAATTGTCGTCTGCAAAAAGGTGCTGATTTTGTGTTCGTGCTGGAGAAATTTAATTCCTGAGAAATTGGGGTCATTTCTAAGGTTGGATGCCAATGGTTCAATGAGTAAAGCGAAGATTATGGGGGAAAGAGGGCAGCCTTGTCTAGTGCCGTTAGATATTTGAAACGGCTGCGAAAGCGTGCCATTAGTGAGGACTCTAGCTGAGGGTTTGGAGTAGAGGGATAAAATCGCTGACAGCATCCAGTCCGTAATTCCCAGTTTTTGTAGAGTAAGTGTCATGAATTGCCAGTGAATGCGATCAAATGCTTTTTCTCTGCGTCAAGAGATAGGAGAAGTGAAGGTTGTTTGTCCGATTCAAGGTGGTGTATCAATGATATAAGTCGTCGAGTTGCGTCAGGGGCCTGCCTACCCGGTACGAATCCAACTTGATCAGAGTTGATCAACGTGGGAAGGTATGGGAGGAGTCTTTGAGCTATTATCTTGGCATATATTTTTAAGTCCGTGTTTAGTAGTGAAATTGGTCTATAATTCTGGACTAGTTGGGGGTCCTTACCCGGTTTTGGGATGGTAGAGATTATTGATTGCAGCATGTCAGGGGGGGAATTCTCCTTTAGAGGCGACGTAGTTATAGAGATCAGATAGGTGTGACTTGAGATGGGGCGTGAACGTTTTATAAAATTTGTTGGTAAAGCCGTCATTTCCCGGTGATTTATTCATGGGGAGTTTTGTTTATGGTTTTCTCGATCTCTGAAGGTGAGATCGGGACAGAGAGGGAGGCTAGTTGGGAAGGTGTAAGATGAGGAAGCTCAGTATGATGTAGGAAATGCTCGATCGACGGGTTTGTTGGTTGAGTTGTGTTTTGGGTCGTCTTTTATGTTTGTACAGGGATTGATAGTAACACGCAAACGCATTAGCTATATCTTGTGGGTAGTCAATGGAACATAGAGGTTGGGTGTTGAATCGTGACGATTTTGTTTTTAAGGCGTTTTTGTTTAATGGTTTTGGCAAGAAGAGAATTAGTTTTATTGCCCAGCGCATAGAAATTGGATTTTGTTTTTTGGAGGTTTATATCATAGGCGTGTAACAGAGTAGTGCGTAGTTTGTCCCTATCTCGGCTTATCGCCGCAGTTGTGGTGGCGTTTGGATTTTGTTTATTAATATCTTCGTTTGTGCGTATAGAGGCAAGAAGTTGTTCAATTTGCTGAGATCGTTGTTTTTTAATACGAGAATTTAATTGGATGAGGATACCTCTCATATAAGCCTTATATAGGTCAACCAAAGTGTGGTAACAGAGATCTCCGGGGTGGAGTTAGTTTCAAAAAAGAGGTCATGTGCATCTAAGATAAATTTCCGGTTTTCCAGGATATTCAAAAGTGTAGAGTTAAGTCTCCAAATAGTGGAATCGTCGACCTTTCGGTTGTCATCCAAGGATATGGTAATCGGTGCGTGGTCAGACCAGGTGATAGTACCGATGCTGGAGGATGTCACGTGTTGCAGAGTCCATTTGTCGGTGATAAACATGTCAATTCTAGAATATGAAAGATGAGGGGGTGAAAAGTAGGTGTAGTCTCTTTCCGTACCATGCTGGCATCTCCAGATGTCGTATAGGTCATGGTCGTGCAGGAAGGGGTTGAGGTTAAGGTTGCAGGATTTCTTATTAGAGGAAGAGTCTAGTAGTGAGTCACTGAGAACATTAAAGTCTCCGCCAATAATAAGTCTACCTTGTTGATTTTGGGAGATGAGAGTATAGAGTTTCCGATAAAAATTTAAATTGCTTACTGTTAGGGCCATATACGTTCACCAGGGGTGTGAGAAAATCTCATTAATTTTGGCACGTCAAGATAATATAGCGGTCTTGCGGGTCGATTAGCGTGGAGGTAAGTTTTGAAAGACAGGGCGTTGTTAACAGCGATAATAACTCCATTCTTCTTTTTGGTGTTTGTTGCCATGAATAATTGAGAGAAGCGAGGTAGATAGAGTTTTGGAGCTTTTTCTGTGGCGAAGCGCGATTCCTGTATGAAGAGTAGGTCTGTTTGAGATTTTCGGATTTCTCTTGATAGCATCGATCTCTTGAAAGGGGAGTTGAGGCCCCGCACATTAAGAGATGTGATGGTAATCATTCGTAAAATGAGTTCTTGGGAGTACAAATATACTTGGGGTGTTTTTTATTTCTAGTGTTAGTTACGGTCACGAGGGTGAAGTTTTGTGTCAGAAATATATAATTAGTGGTGCCATTGGAAGGAATGGGTGGAGAGGGAAAAATAACAATAAAAAAACACTTGCACATAAAGCAAGTAAAACGGTGTAGCCAGGATTGCTACATCAAAAATGGGGGAGTCAAACAGGGATATGACCCTCGGATGGGTCATACCTAACCAAAACATTGACTTTCAGAGCCTTAGGGTTTAGGCCGATCGCCAGAATTAGGAGTGTGTTCAGATATCGCCTCCAGGGAAAATATAAAGAGAGGGATGTAGACGCGGCTGTTGCCGCTAAGCCCTTCAGGTTGCTTCCATGTTTTTGTACGGAACCAGGGTTGTTCTTGTGTGGATCAGCAGGTAAAATACTCCAGCCTTAAGGAAGCTTCCAAACCCGGCCTCTAGGTTTTTAATAGTGAAAGATTCTGCCCTTGATGACGTACAATTAATTTAGTGGGGAACCCCCATTGATAGGCCATACTGTGATTCCTAAGCGCTTTCGTGATTGGTTAATCATTTTTTTCCTGTTGGAAAGCGTGGCCTTAGATAAATCAGCATAAAGACGCAGATTCGCATGTGAGGATGGGAGTGGAGGTGGATTTCTAAAGCCGCCATCATAAATTCACTCCTTAATATGGTAGAAGTGTATTCGGACGAGCACAGTCTTCTAGGGATGGTTGCTGACAAGAATGAAGTGCTTAGGTAGTCGATGTGCTCTCGATCGATTATGGCCTCTACGTCAGAGAGTGTTGGGATTAACAGCTTGAGGAAGTGATGGAGATATGGTGGTAATGCTTCGTTAGATACCGTTCTTCTTCTGGATCCCCTTGTTAATTTAATATTATTGCGGCGTGATCGATCCTCTATATCGTGCCAATTTTTAGGTTGATTTGTTCGATAATCTCTACGTGTGGGTTCAGAATGAGCATCAATCAAATCATTGTGCGCTTCCACTATAATCCGCTATGTTGGTTTCAATATGGCGGATCCTGCGTTCCTGCCTTTTTGCACCAGATAGTTATTTTGGGTCATTGGTGCAGAAATATCGTTATGTAAGTTTGGCGCAGTAGTGTTTTAGCATGTTCTTCATAATGCAAATTTTCAGTTAGAGGTTGGTCAATGCTGGAAATGCGTCTGTCATTATGGCAGGGTGGGATATGGTGGCTGAGGCGGAAGTTTAGGGCCTAGGGCAGGTGTCGGCAGGGTCACTGTCAAGTCGTGGCCTTGATTTAAAACTGGGCTGCAGGACGTGGGTGACAGTGGGGGTGACAACTCACCACGGGTCCCCTGGATAGAGCTGTTTTTGCTGCAGTCTGGGATCCCCACAGGCTGGGATCTGTAGTCCTCCTCCTGGTTGCTGCTGTGTCCCTGCATGTCCGCATGGCGGCCGCCATCTTGGAATCCCGGCTGGACGAGCCGGGAAGAAGTGGGATTAATTTCCCTGTTGCCCCCGGGCTTTTTTTCCTGCGGGCATTGTCCAATGTAGGGCCTGCGGGCACCTTCCGGGAAGTGCCGTGAGTATTTTAATTTCCCTTGGGGTCGTAGTGTGCCGCTTCAGCGCTGGCGGTGTGATGGAGCTGAGCTTATAGCGCGTCCATAGGCCCCCGAGCCGCCGCGCATTGGTTAAGCGCCCCCAATTTTCATTTTTTAAAGATACTCTGTCACAAATGTAAAAACATGCAGATAAAAACACAGAAAAATCAAGTACTAAGCATTTTAAATGCCTACTTGTGGCATTTTTCGTTTCTAGTAACAATTTATTGGCTTGCCAATGTAAGTTTAAACTTGCTATAAATTTTGATTGCTCCATGGGGGTCCGCTCTCTAGTACAACCCCCCTTCCTCTCCTTTTCCAGGGACATTAGATTACTGTCTGTGATGGCCCAGCTTCTTCGCCCCTCTATTCAAACTCCCTATGTAACCTTTTATCTAGCTGCTTGGGGAAGTAGTAAAGGGAAATACTATAGAGTATCACTTGAATTTGCTGGGACTGCTGACATCACATCCACAAAATCCTGAGAAGGCTGTTGCCAAAGGAGGGTTTTACAGGTACATAACATGCCTAAAATATTGAATGCACATACAGTATAATCTCATGGGAAGATATTGTTAAAATGAATGGTCTAATGGCAGGGTGTCCCTTACCCCAGAATAACTCTAAGCACCATTACAGTAATAACAAACTCCTGCAATCCGATCTCTCATACCATCACTGTTTTACTTAATGAATTAAATTAATCTGAACATCATTAGTAGTGATTATAATTGTTCACAATAATTGAACTGGGCTGCAGTATAGATGCATATGACGTTGGGTGATCTAGGGGAAATCTGAATTTAGCATATTTTACAGAAAATAGAGGTGTTGACAGTGCTGGGGTCCTCATTTTAATAAAAAAAAAATGTCTGGATTATTAATCACTGAATATAATATTTGTAATTGTGTGGTTGTTGTCTATTATTTTTGTCCAAATAGGAAAAGGATGATTTGAAGAGAGCAGAGTATATGCTCCAACAGGCAGACCGACTTGGTTGCAGACAGTTTGTTACTCCTGCTGATGTTGTGAGTGGAAATCCAAAATTAAACTTGCTTTTGTGGCCAATCTGTTCAATAAATACCCAGGACTTACTAAACCTGAGAACCAAGATATTGACTGGACACTCCTTGAAGGTGAGTCATTCTGCATCCCTTATCCTAGCTAATACTGGTGAAAATGTCGCTAGAAATCTATATTGTGACAACTTTTGGGATTATTTTACTCTGTTTGTAGTGCATAACAGTGAGTCCAGTCCACCTCAGCAACTCCGTTTTGAGGGATTTTTCTGCCCACTTTTATTTAAAACTGCAATGAAAAGTTCAACTAAAGCTATAACTTGCCCATGCAGGTTTCCATTATCCCTTTAACTTGCACAACGAAAATACTTCAGCCCCTAGGCTCGCCCTGTTTGGCAATCCTGCTGCTCAGGACCTCATGGCTTGGTCCTCGTGACTATCAAACACACATCTTAGCGCTCGTGCACTACCGCTGTACCTCTGTCAGCGTCTTGTCACTTTCCAGCAGCTCCCTTCTGCTCTGTGTCTCTCTTAGGCTTCTGGTCCTGGACAGTTTGGTGCAGACATGCACCTTTCTGTTCCCTTGCATATGCACACTGACTCCTGGGAGGGAGGAGCCCTCAACTCAATTTTCACACCACTATAACCCAGCACACACCCTGACCTAGACTGCCATTTTTTTACACAGTGGCATGGCCTTGCCCTGCCGCAATATGTATCATGTTTTTTTACACACACACACACCCCACACCCCCACACCCACACCCACAAAAATTAGAATATTGTGCAAAAGTTCATTTATTTCAGTAATGCAACTTAAAAGGTGAAACTAATATATGAGATAGACTCATTACATGCAAAGCAAGATAGTTCAAGCCGTGATTTGTCATAAATGTGATGATTATGGCTTACAGCTCATGAGAACCCCAAATCCACAATCTCAGAAAATTAGAATATTACATGCAATCAAGGATTGTACATAGAACAATATCGGACCTCTGAAAAATACAAGCATGTACTTGGTTTGGGCCCCTTTTGCAGCAATTACTGCCTCAATGCAGCGTGGCATGGAAGCTATCAGCCTGTGGCACTGCTGAGGTGTTTTGGAAGACCAGGATGCTTCAATAGCGGCCTTCAGCTCTTCTGCATTGTTCAGTCTCATGTCTCTCATCATTCTCTTGGCAATGCCCCATAGATTCTCTATGGGGTTCAGGTCAGGCGAGTTTGCTGCCCAATCAAGCACGTAATCCAACGGTCATTGAACCAGGTTTTGGTGCTTTTGGCAGTGTAGGCAGGTGCCAAGTCCTGCTGGAAAATGAGGTTAGCATCCCCATAAAGCTCGTCTGCGGAAGGAAGCAGGAAGTGCTCCAATATATAGCAAAAGCAAAAGAATGTTGCATCACTTCTGCTTTCAATGTAAAATGTAGTCACTTTCACACCTGCAAATCATGTTCAGTTTTTTTGTCTGACCTCTGTATGTGGCCATGAACACACACAGAGTCTACAGGTGTATTAGAAGGAGTGTTTACAGACTGAAACAAAATCACCAGCATGTTGAAGAGGGGAACTTTTGGGCAGAAAAAAATCTTGATGCGTCTAAATGTATTTAAACGTGTTGCACCTGAATACATCTAAATGTTCCTAAACACCTTTGTAAAACACAGCTTTAGGTGCATTTTTTAGGCTTCTTGTGTAAGGCCCTAGTTGCGTCCTCTGTGCTTCAAGGCCCTGTATTTTGAAAATTCCCCGGGGCAGAGCTGTGAAGGAAAGCTGCTGCTGACTACCTCTGGAATGCTACCCATGACCTGGTCTTATTCATTGCACATAACTAAGTGCATAGAATGAAAGAAGCAATTAGCTTTGTAACATGGATTTTCTTGTTTTATTATCTCTTTGCTGGTTGTATATCCTTCAAAGTAACCTGATCAGTGTGCACCATCTACTGGTTACAGTATATACTGCATGTTCATTTTATTACCCATATTTTGTTTGGGTTTAGACATTGTGTTTGTGGTTTTTTTTTTTTTTTTTTTTATTATTTCTGTATTTGTGAAATATGTAATTAATTGCCTGAGAATGAAGACCCTCTTTCTGAATTGATCAAATTTAGTTAAAACTAGCAGGAATTCCAAATGATAAAAAGGGGCCTGCCTCAAAAGCTAATTGGACTCTTCAGAAATGCGCAATCAGTCTAACACATAGAACAAGCTTACAAGGGTGCTTGAATCCCAAGACTGGCTAAACAGAATGAGATATCTTTTGGAAATACGTTTTTCACATATCTTTTTTGCGCTTTTAGATGCTTTTCAGGAGTTTAGCTTTTAATAGATCTAGCTTAGGCAGGCATACATTTTGTTAGGAGTGTATTTAATCGTTGTTTGAACGATTATTTAATTGTTCTGTGCGAATGGAGCAAAATGTAACGTTTCAAGCTATTTCCTACAGGTCAAATGTTAGTCAAAGTTGTTTGGGGAAAATATTGCATTATGAATATTAGATGCAGCTGACAATGGTAGGAAGTAAGTACTTTTTATATGAATGCGTAATGTTGGCCTGTAGAAGAAAGAGTCTGAAAACATTTAGCTTTGCCCTGTGTGCAAAGAAGGAGAGAACATTCAGTTTTGCTGTACGAATAGTTCTGTAAATTTTTAAGAATAAGCCCCAAAGCGTAACATCATATTCAAGTTGATTGGCATGGGCTAAAGGATAAAAATCTATTTACAATATTTTATCTTCATCATTCTGCAAGGAGCAAAAAAATTTTTTTCTATTTACAGTTGAAAAATTCTAAGGCTTGGTTTACACCTGTGTGGGTTTGCGGTTTGTGCTTGCACTGGCACAGCAACCCATCGTTTGAATGGGCTGCTGTGCCTGCGTTTCCAAAAGAAAAAAAGGTACAAGCACTTTTTTCAAAATGGGGCCACAGGGAAATGGCATGTTGCTTTGATGTTCCCGCTCCTGCAAACCCACTGAAGGCTGAGATGCATGAGGATGCCATTAAGAATGAATGGCAGCCATGCACATCTCTGCAGAGCAGCGAGATTTGGCTGCGGGTGCGAGAACCACTGAGATTCCTGCACCCGCAACCACCCGCACAGGTGTGAATCAGGCCTAATTGCTTGGAATACTACATAGGACTGTAGTTTGGCAACATTTTGTCTGTTTATTAATTTTTTTTTTGTACAGTAAGCTTTAAATTCAGTTATTAATATATTTGCATATTTTTAGGGGAAACCCGAGAGGAAAGAACATTCCGTAACTGGATGAACTCACTTGGAATAAATCCTCATGTGAACCACTTGTACAAGTATGTATCAGTTTAAAATTAAAAACTGTAGACACTATTGTGGTAACATAATTTTAATGGATCAGCACCAGCTAGAATGGATTACTCCATTTTTAATAAAGAAAGCAGGGTTTGATGTGCTGTCAGGTTGTTGAAAATCCAGTAAAGAGACACTGTCAAATCTTGTCTTCGCCAAGTGTAAATGCATTTTTACTAAAATCAGCTTTTTAAAGTATGTTTATTATTTTGTGTTGGCTGCATTCAGAGCAGTCTTGGACACCCCTGCATTATGTTTCTTTCGCCTAGTATTTGAGTGGAGACTCCAGCAGGTGGCGCTACAGCTGTTCGGCATTTTTCTGGCGTCTTCCAAGACCTCTGTAAAGATCTCCTAAGGGCTTGGTGATCGCAGAGCCTGTCATGACTACAGCGGGACTGGGGGGCACTGCTGGGCAAATATTTTAGCAGGGATGGAACGGATGGAGTATAGATGTTATAGATGGTGTTGTTTTTTAAGATGCTTGGATTAGGACTTGTTTTAAGGTAAAGGTAGCATTATCAGCCTTCTTCATCAATGTATAAAGAAAGAACTGCTTTTGTTACCCATAGCAGCCAGTTGCATTCTTCCCTTTATTATCCTAGTGCACTACACCAGTTTGGTAACACATTTCGATAAATAAAACCCAGTTGTGTGTTTTGTCAACTCTGAATTTCTGAGCTGTTCAATTATTTTCTTTTGTATCGGTTTTCTTTTTAATGAATCAGCAACATTGTGGCCTCTGAGAGCTTTGATGTGCTTTCACACTTTATACCTTTTACATATTCTGAAGAAAGGACAACATTCGCAATATGTTTGCGTGTGACTTTCCATTTAATGGTTGAATATGAAGACTAAGTGCCTCTACCTACCCCTGCAGTATGAAGACTTTAAAATGTGTTCTAACATATGGTTTATTTTTGATATTCCAGTGACCTACAAGATTCTCTAGTAATTTTACAATTATACGAAAGGATTAAGGTTCCTGTTGACTGGAGCAAAGTAAATAAGCCCCCATATCCTAAACTTGGAGCAAACATGAAAAAGGTAAGTAAATGCTAGAGGTCTGCTACAGTCTTGTAAATGTCAATTAGAAGCAAAAGTAGCCCTAAGACTTGGTTTTCATGTAATGTCTTTTCTCTCTTAGCTTGAGAACTGTAATTATGCAGTGGACCTGGGGAAAAATACTGCTAAATTCTCATTAGTGGGTATCGGAGGTCAGGACCTGAATGATGGAAACCCGACTCTCACACTTGCATTAGTCTGGCAACTCATGAGAAGGTAAGTGTAGCACTTTATGAGCAGTGATAACAGGTTAAGAAACACCAACGGTGGGGCACTGTTCCTCCCCCCACACGCCAACTGACTGTTCCTCCCCCCACGCCAACGATGGGGCACTGTTCCTCCCCCCACTGACGCCAACGATGGGGCACTGTTTCTCCCCCCACTGACGCCAACGATGGGGCACTGTTCCTCCCCCCACTGACGCCAACGATGGGGCACTGTTCCTCCCCCCACTGACGCCAACGATGGGGCACTGTTCCTCCCCCCACTGGCCACTGGGGCACTGTTCCTCCCCCCACTGACGCCAACGATGGGGCACTGTTCCTCCCCCCACTGACGCCAATGGGGCACTGTTCCTCCCCCCACTGACGCCAACCCACTCCCCCCACTGACGCCAACGATGGGGCACTGTTCCTCCCCCCACTGACGCCAACGATGGGGCACTGTTCCTCCCCCCACTGACGCCAACGATGGGGCACTGTTGGGGCCTCCCCCCACTGACGCCAACGATGGGGCACTGTTCCTCCCCCCACGCCAACTGACTGACGCCAACGATGGGGCACTGTTCAACTGGGGCACTGTTCCTCCCCCCACTGACGCCACCGATGGGGCACTGTTCCTCCCCCCACTGACGCCACCGATGGGGCACTGTTCCTCCCCCCACTGACGCCACCGATGGGGCACTGTTCCTCCCCCCACTGACGCCAGCGGGAGGAATAGCGGCCCATTGTTAGTGGGCGGAGCTCTAATAGGAAGAGGTGGAGCCTAAAGTGGAAGGGGTGGAATTTGCAGGTGACAGGGTGGGACAAATTTAGGTGGGGGGGGGGGTGAGCGATTTTAGTCTTGCCTACAAAACCAAAATACACCACTGCGCTAATGCAGTGAGTCCTGGGTTCCTCCTGGTGAATAACAATGCCCTGTTTCATATGGCGAGGGTATGCAGGCAGTTCCTGGAGGATGGAGGAATTGATACCATTGAAAGACCCCACGCTCGTCTGACCTAAATCCAATAGAGCACCTTTGGGCTATCATGTTTCGGTCCATCCGATGCCACCAGGTTGCACCACAGACTGTCCAGGAGCTCAGTGATGCCCTGGTCCAGATCTGGGAGGAAATACCCCAGGACACCTTCCATCTCATTAGGAACATGCCCCAACGTTGTCAGGCATGCATAAAAGCACATACTACTGAGTACCATTTTGAGTTGCTGCAATGACATTTCAGCAAAATGGACTAGCCTGCTGCATCACTTTTTCACTTTGATTTTTTGGGGTGTCTTTGAATTCATCCCTCTGTAGGTTGATAATTTTCATTTCCATCAAACGATGGGGCATCCTTACATTCCTAACACATTACCCAGTCCATATCAGTATAGACCTTCAGCATGATATTTTTCCCAATTGAGATCTTATGTGGTTTCAATGTGTTCCTTTAACTTTTTTTAAGCAGTGTACATTTTTAATTTTTGGTAAACTACGACTTTTTTTTTTTTTTTATTCCATAAAAGTTTATTGATGAAATACAGAACGATATAAAAGATATGCAAATGAAGCTTAGATAAGACATTTGGCATTGCATACAACGAAAAAGCAAGAAGTAGAGTACAAAAATATGTGCAACGTTGATATACTAGGCTGTGATAAGGATATGCTTGTAATACTCAGGCGTTATTGTAATGCGATTTGAAAGGTTGCAGCGTTGGACCTCCTATGTGTATAGTTCACAGTGCAGAGCAGTAGAGGGAGGGAGGATAGATGCGGTGCATATGCCGAAGGCAAGCCATAATCTTACGACAATAGAGGTATCTCAAAGCAAACTTAAATTGTCGTGAGGGCCGCTAATGAAAGTAAGGAGAATGTTATTAGCATGCCTAATGTTCCCTTGAAGAGTATCCAAAATATATCAGAGCATGTGAGAAGAGGGAAAGAAGAGAGAAAAAAAAAATGGGAGCGAGAGGGAAAAGAAGAGAGAAAAGTGAAAAAAAAAGAGGGGGGGGGGGGGGGGGGGGAGAGGAGGGGAAGGGAAGTGAACGCTGGGAGGGGTAAAGTAAAAAAAAAAAAAGGGGGGGGGGTTTAACGAGCGAGGTTTGCATCATCGTCAATACAGAGGGTCATAAGTGGATGAGGTTATGAATTAAACTATCACCAATGTCAAGCTGTTGGGAATAAAACACTGAGGGGGAGTACGTTGGCTTCCGTATGATCAAGTGTAATGGAGTATCACCAGCAGGAGGACTAAATTAAATCAGACAGATTGGTCCATGAGGGATTGGTATGTAGGGGTAGTTATGAAGTGAGTCCAGCAGGCCCAGATGACAACTTTTACTATTAAAATGTAATTATGCCTAGATTATGGATATTCAAATATTTTCATACTCTTAGCATATGTTTTATAAGCTTTGAAACAAGCCCTATCTGACCTCTGTAGCAGCTGCAAGGACGATGGGTTAAATTTTAGATTTCACAGCAGAGTACATCGTTTCATTTTAGCAGTTCTGCTTCTCCTGCTCCCTCTCCTCCCAGCAGTAACTTGGTAAACGTCTAATATTGAATGCAGCCTTTCTCAGCAAGGGTCTGTTAAACCCTGTGGTTCCTTCTGAGGTTGCTAGGAGTTCCTTCAGCATAGAGCAATGGGGAATTGACCTCTTATCTTCACTAATCACCAATGTAAGGGAGCACTGACCACTAATGTGGGGGACACCAACATTTTTACAGTCTGTGGTTTTCTGTTTTATTGATTTGATTTCAAGATTATTGCTATAAATATTGTACAGAGTAGGAGGGTATAAAATGTATCTGTTCAGGGTGAAAAACAAGCTTGGTATGCCATATTTATATTCTAATATAAAAATATTCTACAATGTAGTGTTCACGCGCACATGCTACAAAAGTTAGGTAGGTGTAGCTTTAGTTTTCAGCAGGGGTTCCCTGAGACCTGAAACATTTTATTTCAAGGATTCCTCTGTGGCTAAAAAAAAAAAAAAAAAAAATTGAGAAATGCTGCTCTTATTCAAACACAGAGCAGTGAACAAGAAGGGAGAGAGAGAGTTCCTGGACCTACCTGGAACCGCTTTGCTGCCTATCTTGTGAACTTCAAGGAAACGTTTGCTCACCAGGAAGCCACCTTGGGTTTAAATATCTTTTTTTCATTTTACCAGTGCACTGAAACGCGTTTAATTAGCCAGGAATATCTTTAAACTACTTTTATATTTGTTTTACGGGCTCCTGCACATAGCCATATTTATGGTGTATGGGTGTACAAAGTAAATTACCACACCAGTTGAATGCACTATAACAAAAATTCATATGCAGCTATAAACATGTGAATGTTGCCACTCACATTTACACAAGCATGTGTAATGAGAGTGTTTTTTGAAGAGTAAAATTTTACATTTTGAAAAATGCACCCATCCAGGTGAGTGCGTAAACGCAGGTGTCAAACAAGTGCATAGCTACATACTGCATTTTCTGCAATACATGTCTATAGACACATACATACTGCAGCTGTGGCTCCCCAGCGCTACAACTACAGCCATAACTTACTCTGTACACACAAACGCCTAAAATACAGCCATGTGCAAGAGGACTGATTGCAAATTAACTTTAGCTGTTCCTTTTAGCAGTAATTCTGCCTTTGTTCCTTAGGTATACACTGAATGTGCTGGAGGATCTGGGTGATGGTGCCAAGGTAAATGATGACATTATTGTCAAGTGGGTAAACAGGAGTTTGGCTGAAGCTGGCAAGACGTCATCTATTCAAAATTTTAAGGTACTACTACATAAATAATATAAAACCCAGAAATGGAGATTTAATTTTGCTTTTAGGTTTTGTTGTGATGTGCCCTGAAAATGTTCTTTAAAGCTGAACTCTGTGTAAATGGATAAACACACAAGGAATATACATATGAGACCCTGTTTTAGCTTACAAAGGTTTTGAATATCTATCCATTCAATTCTAAGCTTAAATAGCCCAGGCACACAGAGCTAAACATTTCTTTGGTCACAAATGGGTAAACCGGCAGGGCTTGAACCCCCTTTATCAGACCAAAAATGTACTGATAAAAAATTTATTAACAAAATTGTTTTACTCACCCGACAATTTGACTGTCAGTCAATCAATACAGATTGCAGTTGTGCATGGTGGGTTGACTTGTAAACTTGACATCATAGGGCAGGGATAAGCATGTAATGCTGGTCATATGAGGAACTAAAGTGTAATTGTCTTCATTGTCTGACTGCTATAAAGGCAGCAGGAATCTCTTCAAAAGCAGAACAAAACCATTCATTTAAAGTGAGACTAAATGCTTAGATTATTTTTTTTAAATAACGATCATGCCATACTTACCTCTAATGTGCAGTGCTTTTGCACAGAACAGCCCGGATCCTCCTCTTCTTGGGTACCTCGCCAGAACTCCTGCCCACTGTCCTGTCAAGAGCCCCCACAGAAAGCATCTTGCTATTGGGGGCACACGAGCAGAGATGTGTTCCCAAGCTGCTGCTCCGTGTGTCCATGCACATACGGAGCCACGGCTCAGCCCTGCCCCCTTTATTTTCTGATTGGCTCTCTGGCTGTCAATGGCTCCCACTGCTGCCTCAGTCATTGAGGAGAGGGGGTCCCAGGATATCCGAAACTCCAGTGCGCATAGCTGGATCAAGAGGGGGCTTAGGTGAGTAGTGGGGGGGCGGTGGGAGGGGATGCTGTACAGAAAAGGTTTTTGTACCTCCATGCATATTATGCATAAAGGTAAAAAAACTTTGAGCCTTTACAACCACTTTAACTGTTTTCTAAAGCAGTTACATGCAAGACATACTGTGAATAATCATTGGCTTTAAAGTATATGTCCAGGCATAGCCCAAAATTTACCCCCCAATCTTTACTCTATAGAGCAGATCCCAGCATTTATTTTTTTTTACCTCGTTCCTATAGAAAGAAATGGTTTGTCTTATTCCCAGTGGACATTATCACTAGGATTGTACATTTGTTGTAGGAGTAGCTGCTGGAAGCTCTGTTTTTATTGTTGTAGTTGAGCCCCAGAACTACATCTCCCAGGTGACATTTCCTTACAGGGCAGCTTCCGGGGAGTTAAGGCAGTATTACTTTTTTCTTGGGGGTTGGGGGAGGGGGGGGGGGGGGGGGGGTGGGGGGGGGGGGGGGGGGGGGGGGGGGGGGGGGGGGGGGAATGGAGACGGGCAAACATTTTCTAGTTTAGCAGGCATTGCTGCTTATTTTGGTTGAGATTTCAGTGCATTAAAGGCTCAAATAAGAAGTTAGGAACACACCAGATTTATGGCAGGATAAAACGTGTACCAATGTGTATTCCAAAGATGTACTACATGTTTTTTTTTTTTTTTTTTTGCACTTGCATACACTTTTTAAATGCAAATCTTGGCAGGGAGCTGAATGGACAATGTGGTAAGTGGTCCCAGGAGTGTGTAGTGAGCAGAACCTCAAAGCCCCATGGTGTTGTGGTCCACTGACCCTGCTGCTGCATGTATGCATTTCACAATCATCAAGATGTTAAATTGTTTGGTGATGGGCGTGCTTTAACATTTTTCCACAGGACAAAACGATCAGCACTAGTCTTCCTGTAGTGGATCTGATTGATGCTATACAGCCTGGCAGTATTAATTATGACCTTGTTAAGACCAGTTCACTCTCAGATGAAGACAAACATGAGAATGCCAAGTAAGTGTGTCTTCCTTTTGTTGACATAGTAATAAGCCTAATAGCCTTTGTTCCATGGCTTTTTTGGCAGCCATTGTTTATTGAAAGCTGAATTCTAAGTTGTCTGTTAGAATGTTCTGCCAGTGGGGTAAGAGCAACTGGTTTAATTTTTGTAATGGCTTCATATTTGTTTCTAAAGAGTGTGGAACAATTTGGCATTGTTTTATAGATTAGTAGTGTTGATATGTTTTGCATTCAGCCTTTTCTGTTGAATCAAGCGACAGGCTTAAACCATTGTTTTGTATGAATTATTTTTTTTTTTTTATGGAGCCCTTACAATGGAATCCATAGCAATTAACGTGATACTTAATTAAAGTAATACTGAACTCTTACTTTGGAAAGGATCCACACTTGCATTATAGGATGATTCATCTTTTTGGTCTCCTGTGACCAATCCTCAAGCTGCTTGCACCCCTTTCAATTTTGTGTGTGACTCTTTAGCTAGCTGGCTGCTAAGAGGACACCTATGTGTACACACTGCCCACCAGTGCTGTGTGCGTCCATAGGCAGTACTTTCTTCTCCCATCAATCTGAATGACAGTATTGGAAGCCTATGGCTCTTCTGCCCTCAGTGCAGTCTTTAAGTCTTTATGGAGGACCCGGCAATAGTGAAAATGGATCTCGGGTATGTGTTTGAGGAGGGGGCACAGAGAGGTACTTGGGCATTTTTTACATTGATGAAAAGAATGCATTATAGATGAATTCCAGGCACAGTATATTTTTACATAGTTATATTAGTCCAGCTTGGACCAATGTCACTATGTACATGTTATACCTGGACAATGCCTCTGGAAGTAGACACCTCTATTGCAGTGATCTCCACTTCCTTCTAGTTCCTGTGCTGAGTGGCCTGTTGTACTGTGAACATAGGAGGTTGGCCACTTGGCCTGGGGCAAAGCACTTGTTGTTTTTTGGTTTTTGTTTGTTTTGTTTTTTAGTTCTAATATATATTTTCATTCTTGCTCTAGATATGCTGTATCCATGGCCAGAAAAATTGGAGCAAGAGTGTACGCCCTTCCTGAAGACCTTGTGGAAGTGAAGCCCAAGATGGTTATGACTGTGTTTGCTTGTTTGATGGGCCGAGGGATGAAGAAGGTGTAACTGTCCTTGTTTTCAGCTGTGAAGTGTGAGACTCACAGGGTGTATGGCTTGCAAGACCTGGCAGTCCGAGGCCTTTCCGTACTGCCAACATAAGAACTTTTTTGATGGTGGCAAGACTTTCAGGTTTGCTTTGCAACATTAGAAACCTCCCAATTCTCAGGAAGAAGCGCTGTATGCCACAAGTGCTCTCTTTCCCAGCTGAACCTTCAAGATCATACCAAAATGCATTCACGCTTGGACCACTTCTGACCTTTTTATTTGCTCTTTTATTTGATCTTCCGCTTAAATTCCAAGCAAATATATTTGAGGGTCTGTCATGACAAAGGTGCAATAAATACCTTGTTGCCTTTTTCTCCTGCAAGGCTTCAACATGTCTGAAAGAAAAGTAGTCTTGCTTACTCAGTTAGATTTAATATTATTTCTCTTATTGCTGCATGGGAGAATCTTGATAAAAATTTGACTGGCTACTTTGGGCCATAAAATTTGTTTCTCCTTAAAGAAAAGTTGTTTTTTTTGTCCATGCAGGGCAAAACAACAAATTGCTCTAGCCCCTCCACAATACATAATGGCCTGTTTCTTTCTTTTCACTTCTCTGTTCAGCTGCTGGAAACAAAGAAAATGTTGGTACTTGTGGATATGGGGGAGCATGTGGCTCACTCCATGTAACAGTGCTGGGCCAATCACAAAGCATCAGCACCATCACACAGGGGTGAGAACATAGCCCTTTGTAAACTATGATTTAAGTGAATTTTTGTTTACACAAGGTGGCTTTCCCCTGGCAGTTGAATACAATTGTGCAGTACAGCAATGTACAATGACCAAATATGATGTTAGTGTTCATTGGCCTGAATCATTAGTGTAGCAAACCAATGGTTGATTGGATGCTGTGAATTGTAATATGTTTAATTGTACAATAGTCTTAATCTTACAGTACAGTGAAGTACATTATGCACCCACAGTTTCTACAACTGCTTTATGAATCTTGTCACTTAAAGGAAACATAGAGGGTCCCAATGCTTATGTACCTCTGGAAATGATGCTTGCCTGGTTGTCTTAATTGTTCTCTGGCTCGTAGTTTGAGTCTATTACTGGGAACACGTAAACCACCTTTAATGTCAGGGGTCCTAACCTTCATGCTTGTTCTAGGTTAGCAAGATAACAAGCATAGGAGCCAGGGAGAAAACCGATAACTTAATCTTAAAGCTAACACCGTGTTTCCACACATTTACACAGATTAGGGTGTTACATTTCCTTTACCTGTGCATGTATTCTGGAAATTTGCTGTTAATTTGACAGTTGTTACAAAAAATAAATTATACTATTTTGTCTAATCAAAACAGACTGCACAATATACATCTTAGCAACTGTAATGGGCATAACAAGGCCTACTGGGCTGCTAAAACATCTGCATACTTTCTTGGTAGAGCTATTTTGTGGACAAGGCTAACAGTCTGTCTTATAGCAGCCAATTGTCTTTCATTGGTATGAGTCATGTAAAAAAAAAAGAGAGAATCCTGCGCAATAGATTAATTACTAGCACAGCCCATAGAGTGGCTGCTTTCATTGAGTGTGTGTGCGAGATACATAGTCATTTGTGAAACATTATGGAAATAACCAATATTTTAAAGGCCATTCTACTTCTAACCAAAACATAGGACATCTTTCCTTTTCTGCTTGGTTTTTCTGTTTGCTTATATCATTCCTGGTTTTTATTTTGTGAATGTGTTAGTTTGTTTAAAATGAATGCATTTTTGTGTGTATCTAGGTTCAAACCTCATACATTACCATAGTTTTTTTTTTCCTTTTTTGTATAAGGCCTGCATGAACATTTATTTTTTTTGTAACAATTTTTATTTAAAAATTCTATGTACTCTCAAACTGACCTGTTTTATCTGGAATTGCTGGTTTCATTCCTGCCGAGGACCATACACTGCATAGCAGTATGTATTTGCATCTGAGAAAAAAAAAAAGGGCCAAAGAATTAAGTTACTTTAACATCTATATTTACGTATATTTATATAGCTTTGGCAACCTGTTTGCTAGATTTTTACGATCATGCTGCTATTTTATGCTGTTGAAAAATGATATGATGGCAAAGCAGAACTCAAATAAAGAAACTGTTTCAGCATGTCCCCTGACTTGGTTATTGGTATCAAATTGAGACACAGATCTTTTTTTGACCATTTTTAAATGATTTATTTTGAGTCCAGTTATCACACATTTTGCTTTCACTTTGGAAATTTGATAAATTTGAGCTGATTTGAAAAGGTACACATTCCAGGTTCTTGTTGCCATGTTTACTTCAAAGTAAACCTGTAGCCAAGCTATGAACATTCAGGTACTTCTGTATCAATTGCCAAAAAATGTTTTTCTGCAGTCGCAGTTATGTAGATTCATCCTTTGTCAGAGTAAGAACATCCACAATTTTATGGCTGACAACAGAACAAGGGGAGATTAGTAAATTTTTTTACACATTGAAAAAGTAGGCTGACATACTGTACATCTTAATGTGGTAGGAAACTTTTTTTCCCCCATACTTTTACCTACAGGTAAGCTTCATTATAACCGCTAAACGTTCACCGTTTAGGAGATCTTCACTCCTTTTGAGAGCCGGTGCTCTGAAGGAATGGCATAGCCGTGCCATTTCTTTAGAGCACTGTGCTGTGGCCAGGGACTCCCGTGTGCATACACGGTCAAGATGTCATGGCAGCTCGGCCAGTCAGACGACCGAAGCTCGCAAACCCGGAAGGAAGACAGAATGACGATAGAAGCCTCTGGTGCAGTGACAGCACACCACTGGAGGGCTTCATTTTAAGTTTTTTTATATTAAAGCTTCATTTTTATTTTTTTAAATTTAGAAATTAAAAACATGTCACTCTTGCCTTCTCTGTGCAGTGGTTTTGCACAGAGCAGCACCCATCCTGCTGGTGCTTCTGGCTCCTCCCCCATGACCCATTAGCGAGCCGTTTGCTATGGGGCCGCTGGTGCATGCTCACTCCCAAGCCCACTCTATGCATCTACATCTAAAAAAAAATTAAAGGAACACCTTGAAAACTGTTATGGTTGATATCTGTACAGATGTGGACTGGGAAATGTGTTAGGAATGTAGGGATGCCCCATTGTTGATGGAAATTAAAATGATCAACCTACAGAGGACTGAATTCAAAGACATCCCAAAAATCAAAGTGAAAAATGATGCAGCAGGCTAGTCTATTTTGCTGAAATTTCATTGCAGCAACACAAAATTAGTAGTTTGTATGGCCCCCACGTACTTGTATGCATGCCGAGCAGCACAGTGGCTAAATGGTTAGCACTTCCTGCTTGGCAGTACTAGGGTCATTGGTTTGAATCCCAGCCATGGCACCTCCTGCCTGGAGTTTGCATGTTCTCCCTGTGCCTGCGTGGGTTTCCTCTGGGTACTCCGGTTTCCTCCCACGCTCCAAAGACATGCTTGCAGGTTAATTGGATCCTGTCTAAATTGTCCCTAGTATGTGTATGTATAAATGTGAGTTAGGGACCTTAGATTGTACACCCCTTGAGTGTTAGGGACTGATGTGAATGTACAATATACAGTGGGGATCGAAAGTTTGGGCACCCCAGCTAAAAATTTGTATTAATGTGCATAAAGAAACCAAGGAAAGATGGAAAATCTCCAAAAGGCATCAAATTACAGATTAGACATTCTTATAATATGTCAACAAAAGTTAGGCTTTATTTCCATCATTTACACTTTCAAAATAACAGAAAACGAAAAAAAATGGCGTCTGCAAAAGTTTGGGCACCCTGCAGAGTTAATATCTTGTACTGCCCCCTTTGGCAAGTATCACAGCTTGTAAACGCTTTTTGTAGCCAGCCAAGAGTCTTTCAATTCTTGTTTGAGGTATCTTTGCCCATTCTTCCTTACAAAAGTCTTCCAGTTCTTTGAGATTTCTGGGCTGTCTGTCCCGCACTGCTCTTTTAAGGTCTATCCATAGATTTTCAATTATGTTGAGGTCAGGAGATTGTGAAGGCCATGGCAAAACCTTCAGTTTACGCCTCTTGATGTAATCCCCCCATGGATTTCGAGGTGTGTTTAGGATCATTATCCATTTGTAGAAGCCATCCTCTCTTTAACTTCAGCTTTTTCACAGATGGCATCAAGTTACCATCCAAAATTTGCTGAAATTTTATTGAATACATTTTTCCTTCTACTCATGAGATGTTCCCTGTGCTACTGGCTGCAACACAACCCCAAAGCATGATTGATCCAACCCCATGCTTAACAGTTGGACAAAGGTTCTTTTCATTAAATTCTGTGCCCCTTCTCCAAACGTACCTTTGCTCATTCCGGCCAAAAAGTTCAATTTTAACCTCATCGGTCCACAGAACTTGTTTCCAAAATGCATCAGGCTTGTCTATATGTTGATTTGCAAAGTTCAAACGATGATTTTTGTGGTGAGGACGTAGAAGAGGTTTTCTTCTGATGACTCTTCCATGAAGACCATATTTGTACAAGTATCTCTTTATAGTGGAATAGTGTACCACAACTCCAGTGTCTGCCAGATCTTTCTGGAGGGATCGTGCAGTCAAACGTGGGTTTTGAATTGTTTTTCTCACAATCCTGCGAGCTGTTCTGTCTGATATTTTTCTTGGTCTTCCAGATCTTGCTTTAACTTTCACTGTTCCTGATGACTGCCATTTCTTAATTACATTCCGAACAGAGGATATTGACATCTGAAAACGCTTTGCTATCTTCTTGTAGCCTTCTCCAGCTTTGTGAGCGTCAATTATTTTCAGTTTTCTAGACCACTGCTTAGAAGAACCCATGGTGCTGATTGTTGGGGCAAGTTCAGATGAGTCTGGGCATTTAAAACCTTTGAGCTTGACATCACCTGGTCTTCCCAGACGATGATTGAGAACAATCCATGACACTGGCAGGTCTCAGCTTTGCAAAGGGGGCAGTGCATGCTATAAATTCTGCAGGGTGCCCAAACGTTTGCAGACGCCATGTTTTTGTTTTC